ATTTCACAAATCTAGAAATGATAACTCACATCCAAAGAAGAAACTATAGAAACAGAACCGATAATAATGCATAAATGTTTTAGTTGAAGAAAGGTTAATGGTGTTACCTGATGTTCTGTTTTCTGCTTAGAAAAACGAATTTTAAAGCAAACTGGATGATCGGATTAAGAAGCAAGAGATGTAAAGGATTAAGAAACTACAAAATGTTTATGTAAATAATACCTGCAAACAACACTTATATGGTAAGTTTTAATTTGATTAAAATCTTATTTAGAAACAGAACATATCAAGATCAAATATTAACTTTTCTTTAGATATTATGTCGTTTATATTGAAAAAAAATCGTAGAGGCTATATTTTTGTACTTAATTTTTAGCATTTACTATTTATATATATAATGGTTTGATTCTTTCTTTATATCAATACAAAAAGTCTTAAAAAATCATAAATCTTATTAATAATTTAACTTCTTTTTATAAATATTTTTCCCGTAGTTCCCACGGGTTGTAAAAGAGAAACAGAATCGGTTTGGAACCAAAACCAGATTTAACATATTACAAGAACCGGGAAACGGACCGCTGATGTTGGTGTCGATGCTGGTTCCGTTCCCGGTACCGGTTTTCGGTTATTTTTTAGAATAATCTTTTTTCAAAGTAACATTTTTTATAGTCGAGTTTATTTGATAGTTTCGTGGCTTATCATGGATAAATCAAATGAGAGTGTTTTGATAAAAAAAAGTTAATTTGAATTACAAAGCAAGATGCAAGTTTAATAAATATACATATTTAATTTTCATGGCATATGCTACTGTGATTGCGAATTTGCTATCTGCATATTTTACTTTAAAAAACAAAAAATATCGTCATGATTGAGTATCATGACCCACATAGTCTCCATTTATGTTATGATCAACTTGTTTACCATCATTTTGATGTTTATTTTCACAACAAATGTTATAATTTGAGCAAAAGGATCATAACTATAATTTCAAAAGAAATTGTGGGTTTTAGACTCTTTCCGGACCGGTTCTGGTTTTTTAATTGGGTTTCGATGGAACGAGACTGGTGTTAGAACCGGACCGAATGCAAACGATGAATATTTATTCAAATAAAATTTAAATTTCATTTTGAGAAATAAAAGAAGGTGAAATAGCATATGTAATAAAAATAAAGTGGTTTTGGGAATGACATTTATAAACTTACAATTTTTGAAGATGTAATAAGATACGCGACAAAGACCTTGATCAACAATTTATGACTTGTATGATTAATGAAAAACATTGTTAAGTAATCCAAATGACTTAACCGATAATACATTAAACATACATAGAATTTAAGTCGGATTTTAAGCTTAATACATATGCTATGTTTCATGTCGAATAACATTGTACATATTATAAAATCAAATGATGAATGAAAGTAAGAGAAACAAAATATTCATTAAATCAAAATAATTCAATAACTTGAAATTTTCATAAATAACACAAATAACATCGTGTTCAAACCAAATAATAACCCAACAAAATTTTAAAAACAAGTAAAAGACTTGACTAAAAGATCCATAACCCAACAATTAAAAGTGTGACACACAAAAGATTAAAAATAAAATGTTTGTAAACATCTTTAATATGAAATGTAAAATGTTGATGGGTGGCTTCATATTACTCTAACTTTTCCATTTTTGGGATCTTCAAGGTAGCAGGAACAATACTACCTTTCAAAGAAGACCACTTCAAAGAGTCAGTATTGACAACAATCTCAATAGGGCGCTTCCCGGTACTGGATGATGGTGTTAAAGCTTCAAGATCAACAACCTCAAGATTGTCATCATGTTTGTGAGGTTCTTCTTAACCACATGAATGATAATGTTGAGATAATTATGCATCTTGTAAATGCTATCTCAAATAGGGGAATTAGTTGAGCTGTTAATTTAAACAAAATAAAAACCAAAACAAAAACAAATCAAGTGGAATCGTAAGTATACAGATCAAGTATGATGTTATCATGATTCATGAATACGGAATTCTAATATGTACCAAATCAAATATGCATTTCACTGTTCTAGCAATACATAAAAGGAAATTACTAACCAGAGAAGGCATTAGAAAGAATTGTCATGATACAGTAGACAAAAGTCGAAAGCGAATTAAAATAGACGCAGCACGAGGCCGACGGGTGTTTCGGGCCTCCAATGAATGTCATTCATTGTCACAGTATCTTCATGCGGATCCATGTTACTGACAGCGGCTTCTTCTCTCAATTGAGGAACTTCAACATCAAATGGATTCACCAACGATCCATTAAACCCAGACAAAAATTGACAATCGAATACTCAAAATCGGTTCAAAGTTTCATCTTTATGTATGAATTGGGGACGCCCACTTTGAATACCCACAACAAATGGACATTCAGTTCACGTAACTCCGAAATCAAACCAATCGTATTTTCAAAACCATTTCTTAGGTTTTTTCTGCATCGACTGAAGTAGAAGGAAATGGTTTCTCTGTTTCTTTAGGTTACGATCGGAAGGAGAGATAGAGAGAGTAAATGACGAAGGACGGAATCCAACATTAGGTAACGGGTGTTTGGGTTGAAGGATGATGTCAGCAAATAATCTAAGGGTCTATAGAATAGGATTGAAATGCAATGAATGACCCTGATTTCTTAAGTGTAAAATTAAGGGTTCTCTTTTAATAATATTTAGAGATTATTCCACGCAGAGTCCTTTCTAATAGACACCATATACATGCAACTAATTAATTTCCCATGGTCATGTTCAAGATTTATTCCTAAATAAGTGGCATTTTTATGTATTTATATATGTTCCGGTTAAAGAAGTGTATGAGTGGGAATATGATAAATAAATTTTGGATGTTGCACAAATGTAACCAAATTAGATTATTTAACATATTTTATATAACTTTCTCAAATATAGAGAAACTTTTATTCCAATAAGTATCAAACATATTTTGACGTTTTCAATGCAAAAATAATTATTTTATATAATTTATTCAAAATCTCTTAAACAAAAAGATTAATATTAAAGTATAAATACATATCCGAAATTAAAATTTGAACTTAATATTTTTCTATTTTAGTTCAGTAAATATTTTTTGAAAATTACAACTGTTACACTTTAACGTTTCTTGATGAATGTTAATAGAAAATGATAATTGTTAACACAAGAATAACATATTTTTACTTTTAACCCACAATAGCAGCATACTTTTTTATTTAACAAAAAAAAATCTTGTGTTTTTAAACCCAAATGTAGATGTTTATCTTCTATAATCAGTTTTCTTGTACGACCAACATTATATGACATTATCTAGAGATATCAAGGGACAATATTTTATAAATAAGAATATTTTTAGTGGATGAATTGTTTGAATGGCTTAGATGATCGGTATCATATTTTATAAATATGAGTATGTTTAGTGGCATATTAGGTTTTTATAAACATAATCACAAGGGTAATATTGGTACCAAAAAAAAAACAAAAATATAATCCAGGAAATTAGATCATTCCCCCATATCCAATCAATTCTCTATCTCCCAAACCCTAGATCGTCTCAATCACCATCCCTCTTTCTCTCACAATTTCATCGGCTATTGTTCCCCCAATCCAGAACCACCATACAAAATCAATAGGCGCCTCCGTGAACTGCATCCACTATCGATTGAATCGATGAATATTCAATTTCAATTGATCACACCGACGTCAATTATCTCCCACATAGAATGAATCGATAATCGGCTACCGGATCCTCCGGCTTAGTTGCCCGCTCCTTCGCTCCATCTCATCCAGTATAAACAAAATACATTGGATTCATAAGTCAATTTATCGCATCGTCGACTCTTGACTCTCGCACACAGGCACTTGCATCGTCGGATATTGTGTTTCATTCTAAAATTAGCTTCTTCTTTGAAATCCATTCAGTGTATATTTACGACTTGTCGTCGGATGTTCTGTTTCATTCTCACATCAGCTTCTTCTTTGAAATCCATTATTCAGTGTATATTTTCGGGTTCTGCTCCTTGATTTCAGGTGCTTTTCTTATCTCTATGCCTCAAAAAAGATATTGAAACTACTCACTTTTTGAATTCTTTAGTATTTAGCGATGAAGTTACTTCATTATCGTGTTAATGATGTACTTATGCTTGATATATTGTGATTTTGTTACAGAAAATTTTGACCAAAATTAACGAGGAATTCGTGTTCATGCGCACATTGGTTCAGTGAGTTCTAGATTATTTTGTTTTCATATCCTATTTGGAAACTTCTAGTTTACACAATTGATGCACTTCACTTATTCTGAAAATATTATATATGATTATTGATAAAATCATTTAATCTAATATTCTCTAGACCTATTTACATGTTTGGGAAAATTCAGATTAATTGAAATACAACATACACAACAAGAATTTACCAGTAACTACTTAATGGTTGTTTCTCTGTATAGGCAACTACTATGAAGCTTAAATTCACCTGATTAGCCTTTGAATTTAGCAGCAAGATTGCACAGGAAAGCACAAGCTCGATCCAATTTCATGGTGGCTCGTGAAGAAATATATGTAGGAAGGGGTAGTATCACCCTTCGTGGAACCTGTTATCAACCTAAATGGTGCATTTGTTCTTAATTTTTCAACATTTTTTTATCTGTAATAGCTATAATGACTAAACTTGTATAATTGTATTCCTTTTTCTATGTTTTCCGTTGTTATTTTCTACTTGCAGCTTTGCAGAATCAAAAGAAGAAATTTGCAATAAAAAGCATCATTATCTTCCGACTATGCTGGATCTAATGTCAGCAGGGACAAACTTTTTCTCCATCTTTACCAGTAGCATGACCAATGGACACAGCATCATCTAGTAAAAGTTTTTTCAGTTTACTGTGTATAGGGATGTCAAAAACCCCCGTGGAACCCCGATACCGTACGGGACTAAATTTTCAAAAAAACCGGGAGCGGGAGCGGGGGCAGAATTAAACCCCGTTTATTTTCGGGACCGGGGTCGGGAGTCGGCATTTCCGTCCCGTACTCCCGCGTGGGCCCCGGTTGTACATTTATGTAAAAAATATATATTTAATATAAAACTAGACGAGGAGCCCCGCGTTGCGGGGATGGAGCTAAACAGAAACGATCGAGAGCATATGATTTGAGTCGGAAAGTGAGTCCATTCAACTTCATTGTCTTCTTCGCATACCAGAAAAACAATATTGGACACTTGACAGAATTAGAATTTATAGTATAAAGTCCATTCAATACTTGTCTATTGATGTTTCTTTCACCTTCAAACAAAAGTCTTGAAAAAGGATGAAATACTAAATCTAAGACAGCCGCATTATAAAACTATTAGCATAAGAAAATAACCATCCGTAAAGAAACAAAATAGAAAAAAAATTAGGGTAATCACCAAAAAAATGAGCAAATGCTATAAGTGATACATTGTTGTAATATAATAACGGTGTGGCAATATGGTCATAAAACTGTAAAGAAATTAATTTTATTAATATAAAAACTGTGCAGGGGCAATATGGTCCTAAAAAGAAAATATTTATTTTTTTAATATTAAAAGTGTGGAGGGGCAATATCGTCCTAAAACAATAAAATTTGATTTTTATAAATATAAAAACAGTGTTCAGGGGCAATATCGTCCTAAAACTGTAAAATGAAACCTTTAAATAGAATTAAACCGTCCGGTGTGAAGCCCTACAAATTCCGGCGTATGTGTGATAAATTTCCTCACCTTCCAATCTCTATCTACTGATTTCACACCTGCAGTTCACCTAACCATATCTTCCTACCAATATCATTTAAAATATATATAAGAATAAGACAGTTTTTATATGGCCAAAAAGAAAGTTAAACAGGTTGAGGTTGTGACCTTGCGACAATAGCGAACATTCCCACTTACATCCTTCCAGATGCCAAATATGAGGTCCAACTGATTTGAGAAAAACCCTACATCAATATACACAACCAAGAAATACCAGGTAACTGGTAATGGGATCCAAAAACTGAAAAAAAAAAAAAAAAAAAAAAAAAGTCAAGAAATCGTTGATAAATTAATAGTAGTTACCTGTAAGTAGATCTGCAGTCGGTAAACTCGGTTGTGGTGGTCTTGATTGTCCATGTTCACAGTTTCTTCCAACTCCTGAGGTTTAATTTCACTTGTTTGAAGGGCTTCAGTGCACTTGTTTTCGGATTTATTAGATTGGTTTTTGTGTGTGATTTTTGTCATCAATTTCAAACTTGTAAGGTTCAGAATTCAGACTAAAATGGGATAATATTTTAAGGCACAGTTACAACATCATAAATACTAACTTTTGGGAATTAAAAAAAAAACAAAAAATACTAAAAGGTAAACTTATTGCACCTGTCCATGACTGAGCATCTCTGACCATAGCAGTTGAGGTAAGAGGTTCGCAGATTACACTTCTTGATTTGAAATTCCAAACAGAAGCTACAAAGGTCTGGGCTGATTTTGCTAAACCATGTAATACGATTCCAATTCCTATAAACGACCTCCAATAATTTCCAAAAAGTGAATAGGGGAAAATATGTTGATACAGTTACTTTTTCTCTGCAATTTATTCTTAAAAAACATTTATAAATGTTGAAACTGGAAAAAAGAACATATTGAAAAGCTAAATTCAGCAAGAAATTGGGAGTAAAGAAGTTACTTGTGCAATCCAATTGTCTATAGAGTAAACAACACCACTTATCATCATCTTAGCCAAAACAGGATTTTCTTTAAGAGCTTCTTCATAAGCAATCCAATTGTAATTGCAAAGACATTGGCTACTCCAACAGTATCCTTACCAATTTTCTTTCATTTATTTTTAAATGATTTATGATTTGAATACCTCATCGTGGGGCTAGAATACCTAAACATCTCCAAACTTCCAAACAACTTGGGGGTGGAATACCTCATCTGATACTAATGGTAGTAGATCATCATCTGTGATAACCTAAACATAATAATGTGATTGGATTTTAAAATATTCCAAAATTATTACATGGAAATAAGGGTTTTAGTACCTTTTTAATTTCAGCTACAGATTTAAATCGCCAAAGCATGGCATCCATGGTACAAAAATGGAGAGTACATTGTTATTTATGAGTTTAGTAACTTCATTTTTACCATTTTTCATCTCTGAAACAACATAAAACTTGAAAACCGATCAATACACATCAGTCATCCATCATGTTCATCTTCTGTAATTACATACCTACGAAAATTTCCAAGAAAAATTATTTATGTTTTTTGGACTTGTAATAAGATCTAATGCATCATGTAACCCGAAATACAGATGTACTTACATTTGCTTATTTAGGACCAGATATAGATTCAGAGTGTTTCGTTTATCTCTGTAACTACAATCAAGAGCAGCAATGTTTCATGTTATTATAGAAAATGTACAATTTCTCAGAGCACGCTCATGAAATGTCAAAAAGTATCTAAATGTTGGGGTGTAGATTATTGTTAAAAAACCATACCATAATGGAGACATTTGCTGAAATGGAATCAGAATTTCACTATTTAGGAATTTCACAGCCAACAATTTTGACCGCCTTCCTCTTATCTACTCTACCTGATCCCAATTTCCTTCTGTCATGTTTCGTCTGTACAATCGCCATCCTCTTCCTAGCGTATACCATTTGTGAAAACTTCAACACTTAGAATTTAGAAACATTCATGTGGGTTCAAAACAGAAACTCATGTAAATATATAAGCCAACCCTGTAAAGATTATAGATATATTTTTCATTGGTTTTGTTACGGTGGTCCATATATTCTTTTAACACAAAATCTGAAAGTCTACCTCTATGTAATTGCCATAGGGGTAAAATGGTCTAAAATTGCCTAACGTGTCATACAGGACCATTTTAGAGTCCGGTACGTGGTTGAGCAAGAAGCTATGATCGAAAACTGGTAGAAACACCACTTCCACTATTTCTGCAAAAAAAGTGAGTAAATTGATTTCAAAATCATCAATTTGAAACAAAATTAAAGAAAATTCCAAAAAAATCACCGGTGCCACCGTCTACGAAGTTCTTGAGCAACGCCAAATCAATCGCCACAGGGTCGTCCGTTTGGGAAATCGTATGCATTTGATTGAAGTAGTATCGGTTTCAAAGTCAAAGTTTGTGTAAGGTAATTTCAACATGCTAGCAGTAAACCGAACGTTAAACGGACTGAACAGAAAACCCTAACCTTTGCTTTCTGGAAGGGAAATTGAACCAATTATTAAACACAATTATGCAAAATCGGCAATGAAACCCAAACTGTAACGCCCCGATTCTCAGGTATTGTTTAAATAATAATTTAATTGGTTTCAAGGCCTACTCGACGAGT